CTCCCGGGTGGAAAAAATGAATCAAAAGAGTCAACTGGCTCAAATTTAAAAATCAAAAGTATTTAACTAAACAAAGTGAAAAGGAATACAATTACAAAGTGAAAATGTGACAATGCGAATAGTGAAATATTTCGCAAAAATATAGATAATTCTCGTCTAATGTGACTTATCAAAGCGACTGCAGGAAAATTCTACCAGTTCTTTCCTTGTGTGACGACTTGAAGAGACAGTGAAGATTAACTTGTTTTTATTTTTGTAACCACGGCACTTCCTGTATCTAGTTTCTCACCCTTCGTTTCTCCCCACAGCTGAGTTTAGTTTGCAATCACCTCCACCTGTATTTAAGCCTCAGTTCCCCACTTGTCTGTGTCAGGTTATCTTTTGTCTTTCCTAGAGGTGCATGTTTGTAGTTTGAAATTCCCAGTGCTGATTTTGGTAATCTTGTTTTTACTTCGTTGCCAGGCTCTCTTCCTTTTTGTTTCTACAAGAGCGTGTGGATTCTGCCTTTGCCTGTGCACCCTTTGTCTTGCATTAGTTTATTTTCCTAGTAAAAGATTCCAAACCTGGAAAGAAGTTTCTGTTGCCTTATTGCTCTCCACCTGAGTCAAAGTCCTGACCCCTCACCCCTTGGGTAAGTCCTTTGAAAACTCCCAGAGAGTGTTTTTTGGGTGCATTTGAATATCATTGGCTTCTCCTTCAAACGTGTCTATTCCTGGATTGTCTGCTGCTGTAACCCAAAACCTCTCTATCTAATCTTTCCCTCACATTCCAATACATTCAATGCAGATACATTTGGCTTTATGCCTCAATGAGTGCATATAACATATGCATAGTTTATCTTCATCTTATAACTACACTTTAATTACAACACACCATAAATAATCACACTTCATCATAAGGTTTAACACAGTTTGAGTGGTCCAATACTCAAGATATTTTCAAGTTGCTCCTCTGCTACCTGACAGGAGAAACAAACTCTCAAAAAACCCTCTTTGGGGAGAAAATAGGGGGAAAACCATAAAGGACGGCAATTAGCATCCATCCCCAGGTTTTAACATCACATTGTGACAGAACGTTGATGTGTACAGTGTTTATACGATTTGCATGACTATACATTGTTATTTGATTCATATTCCATTCACTTCATCTACCATGCTAATGTAATAACTAATACCTAACATCACACAAACTACAATTCCACACTAAACATTACTACATGTATTATAATTTCTACCACTAGGTGTACACTTCTACTTAAATTCCTAACAAAACCCACAAAGGAACCCAAGAGGAGCAATGTCGTGACATGTGGGAGAAATGGAAGATGTTGCACACATCAACGATTTTATATATATATATATATATATACACACACGTCATGATAAAAAGGAATAAAACAGAAAATCTGCCCAATGATTCCTCCATTATTTGCCTACATAAACATAGAGCTATTAATCTCCTTGATTTCAGATTTATCCAAATCTAGAGATAAAGCATTTGGTATTTACTATAATTTTAGAAATGGAGGCGGGAGATGACAAAACACTTACCTGAGCTAAAGAAACATTATTGGGACTAGAGGGAAATATGACAGACTGTGAGCTGCATGACATTTTATTTGATGAACTCATGTAAACTTCCAAAATGTCAAATAATTTATCAATAGAAGTTCAGGAAAGGGAAGATTTAGATCCTAATGCTCATTGCTGAAAGTTGAAAGAAGATTGAAAAGTAGTCATGCGCAGTTTGTAAGTAATTAAGGCATTTGACATATGTTTGCAAATTAGCTGCATTTTTAGCTTGAGTTCACTCAACCAAAAATGTCAAACTAATTCACCTCCCCAGAAACAAAATACATCAGCTTTGCCGCTATGAGGGCAGCAGCCCAGCTCTCCTCAGCGCCTTGTCCACACTGGGAATCAGTTTTTCTTGGAAGTCCCACAGTCGCTTGTCCTCATTCAGCTGCTTGAGGGTCAACGACCCACGCAGAGCCACTCGGACATGAATGACTCGACAAACGTCCATGGGAACCTTCAACTGTTGTCCAGAACTCTTGAGCACTTCATGCACTGAAGCCCACTCCACCAACCTGTGATGCATATACACACAAAAGGCTTTGATTGGACTTTCCTTTCCACCAGGATGACCACATGTATTGAGACTTCTCACTACATGAGTGAAGCTAAACTTATTTTTTATTTAACAAGAGCACAGAGTTGGTCCTGAATGAGTGTCAGCCTACCTCGGCTGAACGATCATCTTGTGCGGGTGGTATGACTGTCTGTCGGGGTCCTCCCTGTAGATGTGCTCCAGAATATTAACGCCCGGCACCCCGTTCCACTGAGGCAGGTGAAACCTTCCACTCGGCTCAAAATGTTTCTTCGGGAAGATGTGGTTCTCAATAAGGTACACACCTGTCTATATAATGGAATACACCACAAGATGTGGAGAGAATATAAATATGGATCAATATCAAATATAATCTTACGGTTCGAGTAATATTTTACAAATGGACACCAGAACAATCTCACATTTGGATGCTGTTGTTGGAGGACGTCCATCAGAGATGTGAGGTTGTTGTGTTTGTAAGGCATTATGATCTCGTCGATGTCGTTCAACAGCACGTAGCGTGAGCGGTCCATGGATCTGTAAATACATTCATTAAGTGTGGTCAACTGGCCGAAGTAGTGCACATCCCCTCCGCTCCGTGAGAAGAGCCAACCAGGCGATGGATTCAGGTGCTGGTCGATGGGCCAGGGCACCATCTCCACGAAGCCCTCCTTGCTGTAGATCTGCAGCAGGCGATCAAGATCGGGGCCGCAGGTGGTGTTATAGATCACCACCCTGTCCACACCCAGTAACCTGTGGCCAGTTGAGAAAAAAAGGGTCCAATTTATTACTGTCCACACACACTGCTGAGTACATCACAGTGACTGAGCCACTGCTGCACATGCAACAAGACCATTTTACCATTTATCTTTGGCCTTCGTCTACAACGTAATGTCTGTTGTTAAACAGAATGCAAAGTGTGCTGTGCTGACCTGTACATCTCCAGGGTCTGTGCAAACTGAAGCACGTTGTTGTAGTCTCCAAACAGGTTGGAGATGCAAACTGTGAAGTTAAACTGCAACTTCTCTTTTTCCTTCCCATTGGATCTCTTATTTCTTACAGGAAGCCAGGGTTGGTCAACTAGCCGGTCCTTTCCTGGCTGAGTCAAGAGATTGACATGTGTGGCGTTGCAGTTTTGGGGAATCTGACACATGACATCCGTAGTGACGTAGGGGAAACCAAAGTTGTCCGAGTGTTGTAAAATTGTATATAAAATTGTATGTATATAAAATTGATACAGTATATTAAATATACTGTATCACAACTACTTTTATTAAATCTTTTTTATTGTAAAAAAAAAAGAAGAAAAAAAGAAAAGCACTAGCAGATTTCGATACAGAGCAAACATTTCAAACCATTCAAGTTGTGTCTTTATGCCAACCGTATTTGACCAACATAAAAATAGGACATCTCAGTGAATATGGCATCTTCTGCCTCAGATATTTGTCTGTTAGATATGAAGTCCGGAGACAGTTAGCTTAGCTTAGCATTAAGACTGGGAACAGATGGATACAGCGAGTGAAGGAATGAACGTACGATCGGGATCAAAATGGGAAGCCCGGTTGGGGACATCTGGAAGAACTCAGCCAAACAGATTTCTAGTAGATTAATTTGTCAGTTCACAAGTCAAATATCAGCGCTGCGCTTGCAAAGGAAAACAGGCCGCAGGCCGGAAGAACATCACATTTTATACTGGTTGTTGGATATAGAAGAAAAGATTTCTATTGGCCCTAAACTGGCGTCAAGGAGGAGCAGGTCCTCCCACCGCAACACTGGATCCAATCACATACAATGTGTGGTCTCCAAATATTAATGTAAATATAACAAACAGAGCTTGAGTGTTGAATGGTGTGTCTTTAAATCTCACCCTTATCAGACGTGTGTCTGCCTGGTTGGCACTGTAGGATATTAGAAACAAATTGACGATCCGGTTCATAAAATTAATAAAATGCATATAGTGTACACCAGAATACAGCCATGATTCTGAAACTGTGTAATCAATAAAGTAATGACAATATTGCAAAACCACTGTAATTCTGCAACTGTAATAGAATAATACCAATGCAGTTATGATTGTATTTGATGTAATGTAATCAACTGGAATGCATGCATGTAATACTTGCACCACAACTGATATTGACTATGGATCATTCGAAATCTGAGCTACATTGAACTCACCAGAAGACCACTCCCAGAGGTGTGGACACTGACTTTCACACCTTTAAGCATTGTTATAAATACCTGTAGGAACCATTGTTCTCGAGTTCGTTGGTGGAGGCTACAGACGGGCACTAGGGATGGTCAAAGGACTGACCTGGGGCCTGTTGGTCGCTGAGACCAGCGGCTCCTCAGCTGAGATGTTCTTTTTACCACAACGCCATCTCCTTTATTAAATACATTTGATTTTAACCTTTTGATCAGCGATGACCTCTGTCCGTCCGGCGTTTCTTCATTTTTGAACACAACAGCACTTTCTGCTTTTCCCTCTGACCTTGCACTCCTCAAGACAGTGACTCCCCAAATGAGCACCAAGAAAAACGTTTTTGATTATCACAAGCCTGGTTAGCAATGTGGTGACACAATTGTGATTGGTGTGCTAGAAAAGATTTAGTTGATCCCCAAAACCTCACCTGCTAATGCTTCTCCTTATGCAGTTTGACTCTTTGACCTAATGCGCATCACATTCAGTTCATCAGACAAATAAATTCCATATCATAGAAACAGTGTGAAAATTTTTGATGATGCATTTGTGGCGTAATGGTATCTTGTCCTGCCAGCAACGCCAAGTGTGGCGGAATGGATTCTTATCCTGCCGACAACGCCACTTGGGATAGGCCCAAGACCTTTTAAAGCACACAGGTTTGTTTCACTCAGTAGGCAAGGGCTCGTGGTTCCCAGTTTACAAAAGCATTTTTATTCAATAACTATACATTACCATAAAATCTAACATTCATCACAAAATAAGAAAAGAAAACTAATCGCTAAGGAAAACAAACCAGAGTTCACCCAGTGATAGCACAAAAATCCAATAGGACACGACACACGAGGAAGACCACCACCACCCACACCACCGGCGCCACCACCAGCCTACAGCCGCTAGGAAGGATAACCAAAAAAAGTTTACAAGAGAATTAAACCCAAAATGTACAACACGAAACCGAAAAAGAAAATAGTTCACATAAAAATCATCCTAATCAAACAATTCACGTAATCCAAACAAAACCAAAATAAGGAAAACAAACCAAAAGAAATACAAACTAAAAGATGAACTCCTCAGTCAGCTAGAATCAAAGAACTACACAGGTCCAAGTCTGGTGCCGGCAATAGCCACGCTAGGTACGTCGCGGCGGAGACCAAACTGTGCACTTAGCAGCATTTAACAGTGCAGACAGTTACCGACAAGGTTACATGTAGCAGCAGACTAAGCTGCATGTAGCAGCAGGCAAAGTTGCATTTAGCAGCAGTCAAAGCAGCAGGAAAAGCAGCAGTGGCCCCAATCAACTGATAGTGCTGTCACATCAATCACCACCTGTGGATTTCGGCCAGCTGATGAGCATTCCCTGTTTCCCAGGTCAAACCTGCACAGGGAAAGGGAAGGAGAGAAAGACCCACATGGCAGGAAGACATCTACCACCGGTTGAGAGGACCAAAGAGCAAAAAGGAGCACGGTGCACGGAGTACTTTGTCGCTACTCTGCGCAGACAGTCACCTGACCCGGAAATGATGCATCAGTGGGGCGCGAGAAGGGGGGCAGCCTTTATATACTACCGCCGCCCTAGTGGTCGGCAGGCGCAGTTAACTGTAGCAGGACAATCCTATTTGCATACTGCTACACATTTATTTTTTTTTAGCCAAATTTGCCATGTTTTGATTTTTTTTTTCTAGCTCTGTTCAGGATTCTGCGGCTGATAGGGCCTCTTGTCCAGCGGGAACAAAAGATGCACGTTCTAAAACAACATTACATGATGCAGCCAATCAGACCTTGCCATGAGGCCACAACGTTTTGTGATGATGTAGATAATGTCGGTTCATCTAATGCATCATCTCTGCCTCTCTCAAATCAGCAGGCCCGCTTCCCTCAGCACCTTATTCAATCCGGGGAGCAGTTGTTCTGTGAAGTCTCTCAATCGGGTGTCAACGTGAAGCTGCTCCAGCGGTCGTTGTGTCGGGGTACTGATTGGGGAGTGAATGATTCGACACACATCTGGGGGAACCTTAAACATCTGTCCAATCATCTTGAGCACTTCATGTACCGAGGTCTGCTGCACCATCCTGTGACACCAAACATCGACACCATCAGACACGTGATACGTTACTGCTACAAAAGTTTTTTTTACAATGTATTATTCATTCACTATTATTAAAAAATATATATAAAATTAAAACGCCCTGAGAAGAGAAAATACACAAACAATGGTTTTAGCCCGAGGAGTCGGTCTACCTTGGCTGAACGATCATCTTGTGGGGGTGGTAAATAGTTCTGTCAGGCTCTTCCTTGTAGATCCGATCTAGGATATTAAAGCCTGGCACCCCTCTCCAACGAGGCAGGGGACCCCATTTACTTTCATTAAAGGGTTTCTTGGGAAATATATGGTTCTCAATGAGGAACACCCCCTTCTGTAAAATGTGAGTTTGGCAGGTGAAGCGTGGAGGTGGAAAAGACATGAGGCACTATAAATGATAAATAAGGTACAGGAAACTGCATTTTCATTCTGAACAAATCACCTTACATTTGGATGCTGTTGTTGAAGGACGTCCATCAGAGATGTGAGGTTGTTGTGTTTGTAAGGCATTATGATCTCGTCGATGTCGTTCAACAGCACGTAGCGTGAGCGGTCCATGGATCTGTAAATACATTCATTAAGTGTGGTCAACTGGCCGAAGTAGTGCACGTCCCCTCCGCTCTGTGAGAAGAGCCAACCAGGCGATGGATTCAGGTGCTGGTCGATGGGCCAGGGCACCATCTCCACGAAGCCCTCCTTGCTGTAGATCTGCAGCAGGCGATCGAGATCGGGGCCGCAGGTGGTGTTATAGATCACCACCCTGTCCACACCCAGTAACCTGTGGCCAGTTGAGGAAAAAAGGGTCCAATTTATTACCGTCCACACACACTGCTGAGTACATAACAGTGACTGAGCCACTGCTGCACATGCAGACGGCTTGGCCAGTTTAAGCGGGTTTTAATACCATTATACCATTTATCTTCAGCCTTTGTCTACATCATAATGTCTCCTGTTAAACAGAATGCAAAGTGTGCTGTGCTGACCTGTACATCTCCAGGGTCTGTGCAAACTGAAGCACGTTGTTGTAGTTTCCAAACAGGTTGGAGATGCAAACTGTGAAGTTAAACTGCAACTTCTCTTTCTCCTTCCCATTGGATCTCTTATTTCTTATAGGAAGCCAGGGTTGGTCAACTAGCCGGTCTTCTCCTGGCTGAGTCAAGAGATTGACATGCTTGGTGTTGCAGTTTTGGGGAATCTGACACATGACATCCGTAGTGACGTAGGGGAAACCAAAGTTGTCCGAGTGTTGTAAAATTGTTCCAGGAGTTGTATTTGATAACTGGCCTGCACAGCAGAAAACACAGTGCAGATTTTGGATGGAGTCTCTCTTGAATATTCCAATGATGCGTACGTCCAAGCCATTCACTCTCTGGTCCATGTAGGCCGACACCAGCAAGTGCTTGGTGTTGTTGAGCGGGGTGATGCTTTGCTCAGAGATTTGCCAGGGGCAAGTGTTCGGAGCCCGGTGCGGCAGTGGGATTATTCTGCCTGTCCTGGGTGTTCTCACCGTGACGCAGAGCATGAAGATGAGGACAACAATGAAGAGGAAGAAGCACTTCTCTCTGATTCGTTTTGGTTTTTCCATCTAGCCAGAAACGTCACAGATTCCCAACCTGAGGCAGAATACGGTTTCAGAAGACACATTTGAGGAACAAAGTTAACATGCATACTTTATCGAGACCTCCTGAAGCGGTGAGAATGTGAACATGTTTTTTTTAAAACAAGGATTTTTGAGACCGAAGTGGCGCTGGTACTAAAAGCACAGGTGCTGGACGCCCGCCTCTGGATATTCCTGGATATTGGATTTCTCGGGTTGATAGACCGGACAACACAAAGTTAGCCAGCTTGTTGCCAGGAATATCCAGTCCCTTAGCCAGCCTTCTTTTGCACACGGCTCTGTAGTCTGTTCTGAATCTTAGATGTAGGCACGCCCCCTGATTTGCAGATAAGAACGTGAAATGTAAAACGGCATTATGAAATAAGTCTCTGGAAATGAAAAGTGGCATCATGAAATACATTTATTAAATAATTAAACGTATTTAATATGTATGTATTTATTGCCTCATTTATTTATTTCATGATGTATTTCAAATGCATATTTTATGTATTTATTCATTTATTTAATTTTGACTAAAACGGCATTCCATATTACAGTGCGGGTGTTTATGCTCGGGTGTTTTAACTTGACATTTAGATAAACTGGTCGGACATATCTGCTTCTCCAATTTCACACTCTGTAGCTGTGTCTCAAATTCGCTAGGCTGCATCCTTAAGTGATCCAGTGACTTTATGCCATGTAACCTCAGTTTTCATTCACATTGATGACAGTTAAGGTAACACGAAGTGCGTAATTAAAAATACTCACAAAAATATTGGACCTTTAGCCTTATCGTAGGATCCCTCGCGACGGAGGACACGCGGGCAAAGAGAAGGATAAGCGGTAATGTTTGCGCCACTGTTAGTCGTCTGCGGATGAGCCTTCAAAACGAGTCGCACCTGGGCATCGCGTGTGTTTCCGCATGCATCGGGTTTCCGCGAGCATCGGGTTTCCGCATGATTCTTTTATAAAAGCACATCAAAAGAATTTATAACAAAAGACTTTTGAATGTCAGACGAAGAATCCAGAAATTCCCGATCTTTGAGAGCAAAACACTCGACTAGGTCTCGACTCTTTGCTGTCCTTGCGCCGAAATGGTGGAACGAGCTCTCTGAAGACACCAGGACCGCAGAGAGCCTTCACATCTTCCGCCGCAAACTAAAGACACACCTCTTCAGACTCTACTTCGACTAAAGACTAACAAATTGTAGCACTTAAATTGTACTTGCAACGTCACTCATCTATAGCAAATTGTAAATTGGCTTATTTGAGGAAATCTTGTTTCTTGTTCTCCTGAGTTTGTACCCTATGGTTGAATGCACTTATTGTACGTCGCTTTGGATAAAAGCGTCCGCTAAATGACATGTAATGTAATGTAATAAAGTACATGAGAAATCTTTAAAAAGCCTTAAGGAATGCTCCCCATCTGGATGTCAAAAGTAAAAACAGTTTAGTTTGTGTTCTGTTCCTTCATCTTAACGTAAATGTACGTTACTATTACGACTACAATTAAGACTAAGAACTACTTTGACTGTTTTATTTGCTTTTCCTACTCTCATGAATGCTTAGCAAAATACCTTTTGGGTTTTATTTTAATTTTAGAAAAGATGGAGCATTGGAAAATAAAATGAACTGTCTCACCGATTGAAGACTTTATCCCAATCCTTTGTTGAGTTTGATCCTCGATGTTCTCATCTCTGTTGAAGCCCCGAATAAACGCAGTGAATTGATACATTTTACAAACCGCATTCTCGTGTTAGTGCATGAATTTATTATAAAACACCTGATATTAAAGAGGTTGATTTACACTAGAAGGGCATGAATTTATTGTAAACACACTTGTTATTAAAGAATGTCTGTGCAAATTATAATTCGTAACATAGCGAGAGACACCAAGTAGTTTTTATAACCACACTAGAAATATGGGGACAGAGGAGGCCTCTCAGTAAATCAAAATGGAAGCCGTGCAGGTACCATGTTGTACAAAACAACCCCTTTTGTGTAAGCTGCATCGAACTACAAAATGGACGGTTATAATAAATCAAACACCAGTATGTTTAACCAATGAGAGGCAACTACGCCTGTGTGATGGAAAAACGTATATATAAACTGACTGTTATCCTTTGTTTGTGTGGCTCACAAGCTTAAGGCAGCAATTGTTGGCAGACCAGCTGTGAATGGCCTGGACTGCTGAGGCTTGTCAAGTCCTCGTTTTGAGAAATATACTGTATCACAACTACTTTTATTAAATCTTTTTTATTGTAAAAAAAAAGAAAAAAAAAAGAAAAGCACTAGCAGATTTCGCTACAGAGCAAACATTTCAAACCATTCAAGTTGTGTCTTTATGCCAACCGTATTTGACCAACATAAAAATAGGACATCTCAGTGAATATGGCATCTTCTGCCTCAGATATTTGTCTGTTAGATATGAAGTCCGGAGACAGTTAGCTTAGCTTAGCATTAAGACTGGGAACAGATGGATACAGCGAGTGAAGGAATGAACGTACGATCGGGATCAAAATGGGAAGCCCGGTTGGGGACATCTGGAAGAACTCAGCCAAACAGATTTCTGGTAGATTAATTTGTCAGTTCACAAGTCAAATATCAGCGCTGCGTTTGCAAAGGCAAACAGGCCGCAGGCCGGAAGAACATTACATTTTATACTGGTTGTTGGATATAGAAGAAAAGGTTTCTATTGGCCCTAAACTGGCATCAAGGAGGAGCAGGTCCTCCCACCGCAACACTGGATCCAATCACATACAATGTGTGGTCTCCAAATATTAATGTAAATATGACAAACAGAGCTTGAGTGTTGAATGGTGCTTGGTGTGTCTTTAAATCTCACCCTTATCAGACGTGTGTCTGCCTGGTTGGCACTGTAGGATATTAGAAACAAATTGACGATCCGGTTCATAAAATTAATAAAATGCATATAGTGTACACCAGAATACAGCCATGATTCTGAAACTGTGTAATCAATAAAGTAATGACAATATTGTAAAACCACTGTAATTCTGCAACTGTAATAGAATAATATCGATGCAGTTATGATTGTATTTGATGTAATGTAATCAACTGGAATGCATGCATGTAATACTTGCACCACAACTGATATTGACTATGGATGATTCGAAATCCGAGTTACATTGAACTCACCAGAAGACCACTCCCAGAGGTGTGGACACTGACTTTCACACCTTTAAGCATTGTTATAAATACCTGTAGGAACCATTGTTCTCGAGTTCGCTGGTGGAGGCTACAGACGGGCACTAGGGATGGTCAAAGGACTGACCTGGGGCCTGTTGGTCGCTGAGACCAGCGGCTCCTCAGCTGAGATGTTCTTTTTACCACAACGCCATCTCCTTTATTAAATACATTTGATTTTAACCTTTTGATCAGCGATGACCTCTGTCCGTCCGGCGTTTCTTCATTTTTGAACACAACAGCACTTTCTGCTTTTCCCTCTGACCTTGCACTCCTCAAGACAGTGACTCCCCAAATGAGCACCAAGAAAAACGTTTTTGATTATCACAAGCCTGGTTAGCAATGTTGTGACACAATTGTGATTGGTGTGCTAGAAAAGATTTAGTTGATCCCCAAAACCTCACCTGCTAATGCTTCTCCTTATGCAGTTTGACTCTTTGACCTAATGCGCATCACATTCAGTTCATCAGACAAATAAATTCCATATCATAGAAACAGTGTGAAAATTTTTGATGATGCATTTGTGGCGTAATGGTATCTTGTCCTGCCAGCAACGCCAAGTGTGGCGGAATGGATTCTTATCCTGCCGACAACGCCACTTGGGATAGGCCCAAGACCTTTTAAAGCACACAGGTTTGTTTCACTCAGTAGGCAAGGGCTCGTGGTTCCCAGTTTACAAAAGCATTTTTATTCAATAACTATACATTACCATAAAATCTAACATTCATCACAAAATAAGAAAAGAAAACTAATCGCTAAGGAAAACAAACCAGAGTTCACCCAGTGATAGCACAAAAATCCAATAGGACACGACACACGAGGAAGACCACCACCACCCACACCACTGGCGCCACCACCAGCCTACAGCCGCTAGGAAGGATAACCAAAAAAAGTTTACAAGAGAATTAAACCCAAAATGTACAACACGAAACCGAAAAAGAAAATAGTTCACATAAAAATCATCCTAATCAAACAATTCACGTAATCCAAACAAAACCAAAATAAGGAAAACAAACCAAAAGAAATACAAACTAAAAGATGAACTCCTCAGTCAGCTAGAATCAAAGAACTACACAGGTCCAAGTCTGGTGCCGGCAATAGCCACGCTAGGTACGTCGCGGCGGAGACCAAACTGTGCACTTAGCAGCATTTAACAGTGCAGACAGTTACCGACAAGGTTACATGTAGCAGCAGACTAAGCTGCATTTAGCAGCAGTCAAAGCAGCAGGAAAAGCAGCAGTGGCCCCAATCAACTGATAGTGCTGTCACATCAATCACCACCTGTGGATTTCGGCCAGCTGATGAGCATTCCCTGTTTCCCAGGTCAAACCTGCACAGGGAAAGGGAAGGAGAGAAAGACCCACATGGCAGGAAGACATCTACCACCGGTTGAGAGGACCAAAGAGCAAAAAGGAGCATGGTGCACGGAGTACTTTGTCGCTACTCTGCGCAGACAGTCACCTGACCCGGAAATGATGCATCAGTGGGGCGCGAGAAGGGGGGCAGCCTTTATATACTACCGCCGCCCTAGTGGTCGGCAGGCGCAGTTAACTGTAGCAGGACAATCCTATTTCCATACTGCTACACATTTATTTTTTTTTAGCCAAATTTGCCATGTTTTGATTTTTTTTTTCTAGCTCTGTTCAGGATTCTGCGGCTGGTAGGGCCTCTTGTCCAGCGGGAACAAAAGATGCACGTTCTAAAACAACATTACATGATGCAGCCAATCAGACCTTGCCATGAGGCCACAACGTTTTGTGATGATGTAGATAATGTCGGTTCATCTAATGCATCATCTCTGCCTCGCTCAAATCAGCAGGCCCGCTTCCCTCAGCACCTTATTCAATCCGGGGAGCAGTTGTTCTGTGAAGTCTCTCAATCGGGTGTCAACGTGAAGCTGCTCCAGCGGTCGTTGTGTCGGGGTACTGATTGGGGAGTGAATGATTCGACACACATCTGGGGGAACCTTAAACATCTGTCCAATCATCTTGAGCACTTCATGTACCGAGGTCTGCTGCACCATCCTGTGACACCAAACATCGACACCATCAGACACGTGATACGTTACTGCTACAAAAGTTTTTTTTACAATGTATTATTCATTCACTATTATTAAAAAATATATATAAAATTAAAACGCCCTGAGAAGAGAAAATACACAAACAATGGTTTTAGCCCGAGAAGTCGGTCTACCTTGGCTGAACGATCATCTTGTGGGGGTGGTAAATAGTTCTGTCAGGCTCTTCCTTGTAGATCCGATCTAGGATATTAAAGCCTGGCACCCCTCTCCAACGAGGCAGGGGACCCCATTTACTTTCATTAAAGGGTTTCTTGGGAAATATATGGTTCTCAATGAGGAACACCCCCTTCTGTAAAATGTGAGTTTGGCAGGTGAAGCGTGGAGGTGGAAAAGACATGAGGCACTATAAATGATAAATAAGGTACAGGAAACTGCATTTTCATTCTGAACAAATCACCTTACATTTGGATGCTGTTGTTGAAGGACGTCCATCAGAGATGTGAGGTTGTTGTGTTTGTAAGGCATTATGATCTCGTCGATGTCGTTCAACAGCACGTAGCGTGAGCGGTCCATGGATCTGTAAATACATTCATTAAGTGTGGTCAACTGGCCGAAGTAGTGCACGTCCCCTCCGCTCTGTGAGAAGAGCCAACCAGGCGATGGATTCAGGTGCTGGTCGATGGGCCAGGGCACCATCTCCACGAAGCCCTCCTTGCTGTAGATCTGCAGCAGGCGATCGAGATCGGGGCCGCAGCTGGTGTTATAGATCACCACCCTGTCCACACCCAGTAACCTGTGGCCAGTTGAGGAAAAAAGGGTCCAATTTATTACCGTCCACACACACTGCTGAGTACATAACAGTGACTGAGC